CGAAGTCCATATTCGCATTGGGAGTGAACGTGGTGCACCGCAAGATGCTGATGATGCTCAACTTCAAGCAGAGCGTGCGCGGAGCCATTCGGCAGCCGCCGAACATCATAACTTGGATTGTGACCCTCGAGCGGCTGCAGACCTGCGGGGCAGCCACTGATCCGCAGGCCGTCGTGCAGGAGTGGAATCAGCAATGCCCGAAGGGCCAGCAGCTGAAAGGTGGCCAGGCCCAGGCAGTGCAACTCGTGCTCGAGAAGATGCCGCGAGCTATCCTGGCCAAGGTGATCGAGCACGTCTACACGGTGGGGTGGCGTGTGTGCATGTTCTTTGACGACAGCCTTGCGTCCAAAAAAATCTGGTTGGCTTTGCCAGTTGCCGCCTGCCCTGGCCCTGGTCACGCACCTCCAGCCCAGGTAGTGTAGCATCCGTGGTAGGCGAGGTGGACGTGCCAACGCTAGGTGGCACGCGTAAGGGTCAGTTATGATGCGCGTTGTTTGGCCTTGCTGGGCCTGGTTGGATCTATCCTGGGCATGTGTTCAAGCACAACAAGCCTGGGTGGAACAACATCTTGGGTGTCTCAGAGGTCTCGATGGACATGATGGTCGACCGGATGCTGTTTGACTGGGCGTCCCGTCCAGAACAGCTTCGTCGGAAAGTCTTGCGCAAGGAGATGGAGGAGCATGCAGAGATGGCCGCGCTGGTTGCGTATATTTACAACAAGACCATGCACACTACTCCGCTCATGGCCACGGACCTTTTGGATAACTTCTGCAAGCCGTTCGTGGAGGGCAGCGACCACCACTTGTCCCTCGAGCTATCTACTATCCTTGCTGATAAACCTGCTGAGATTCAGGTGGAGCACATCTCGTGCATCAAGGCCTTGATCATCAAGCACAAGGGCTCCCACCAGCAGCCAGGTTCCAGCACAGTGCAGCTCATGCAAGACCTCGAGGCCGACAACTACGGGATCCTGCAGGCTTCGATTGAACACGACATCAAGGCTGTGATTCTCCACCGGGAGAAAGTTCGCACGTGGGGGTCCACGGCTTACTGGCAGAAGTTGGAGGACGGCCAGAAGCAGTGGACTGACCTTACTGATGGGGTCAGGGTGTACATGAAGCGGTACATGAAGGTCGTAGTGGCTGACAACTCGGTCAACATGCTGAAGGCGTTCATGGAGTACAAGCGGACCATCACCCAGAAGCCGCACCACCGCGTCAGCATTGAGAGTGCGGTTGCCAGAATGGGGTCAACAGTAGGAGGAGGAGGAGGAGGAGGAGGAGGAGGAGGAGGAGGGGGAGCAGGAGGAGGAGAGGGAAGGGGAGGTCTAGGACGAGGAGGAAGTGAACAAGAGGAGGATGGGGAGGCTGAGGAGGAGGCTGCAAATGAATGTCACGCAGAGGCAGGGGCCTCATCCAAGGCCTTCAAGAAGAAAGACGCCAGGGGGGTTCGACATGACGAAATACTGAGATGTTGCAGAGGCTATTTCCGCCATCCATGTTTCTTGAGACTCTTGAGGCCCCCCCAGAAGTCACGCGTCTCGATGCGTTCCCCTTTGCCCCCCCCCCTCAGAGCATTTCCAGTGCTCTGGCCCATTCGGAGCCTGCGGGGCATTTCCTAACCCTGTAAGGGGGCCTTCTGGGCAACAAAGCCAGAACAACAACGCGCGTTTCAACCTTTCTTCGAAAAGGACCCTTCGTTTTTGTTGTTTTGCTTTGGGGGCCCATCTAGGGGCCTTCGCAGGACAGTTTGGGGCAATGTCCTGGGCCCTCAGGGTGCTCCTAGGGACATGGCTAAAAACACAAATGCTCCAGACATGTAAACCAAACCTTTTGTGAGCAGGCGCGTCCGGAAGGCCACGCGCACTCTGGGCTACAGGAGGCATGTCGTCATTGTTGTCAATTTCCACGCTGCCCTCCCCCATGCTGCCCTCTCCCTCTCCCCCTTCCACGCTTCTTCCTTCCCCCCCCCCCCCTCTCTCCCTGCTCTGCGGCAAGCAGGGGTCTCCGGTGGACTGGATGTCCTCCTCGCACCTCGGCACGGCTGCCCCAGCAGGGTGGGGGGAGGTGAGGAGTAGGGGAGGAGGGGGGCAGGAAGAGGGCGCGGGGGGAGGGAAGTGGGGAGGGATGGGGGAGGGAGGGGGGCAGAGGAGGAGGTTGAGGGGGGAGAGGGCTAGCAGCAGCAGGGGAGGCAGGAGGAGGAGCGTAGCGATGGAGAATGGGTCCGCGCTGCCCGCAGGCAGTCCTGGCCCACGTCAACTGGCTGGCCCCTGCTGGCATCAGGTCTCTCCAGAAGAAGTGCCACGAGGCCTTGATGAGCGCCCTGGCTTCAGATTGCCCCCAGTCCCTCATCCTCGCGATGGCGCCGACACACTGCAACAACGCATCTAAGTTGTGGATCTCCCAGAGGGATTCCCTGAACAGCTTGACAAATGCTGGGCTCGATATTGACATGGAGTTCTCCGTGCTCTTGAAAGACCGCGCGGACAAGCGCGATGACCGGCCTGGCACCATCAACGGCAGGGTATGCCGTGCCATTGGGAGCCCGAACCCTGCCCACAACGGGTTCTGGAAGACGTGCAAGCTCTTGGATGAGAGGCGCACGGAACCAACCTCCCAGCTCTTGGTCTCTGATATGGTATGCCATGACGAAGGCGATGGTTTCCTTCCAGCAGCAGACCACGGCGGCTCCACAACCCACAGCTCAGTTCGTGGCCGTGGCAAGTTCGAGCAGCTTGGCCCTGATACCTGCGTGTCCATCCTGGACGCCACGTTCGATGGCCTGAAGGACGCTGCTGGTGTGGGCATTACATTCTTTGTGGACGTGAATGTCTGTTGCGGGGACATGGTGGTGGCATGGATCCGGAAGGCGTGCAACATGCAGGTCCCCTTGTACTACTTCGGGACTGTGGCAGACGGGGCTGCTCTCGAGTGGGTAGAGGGGTACGCTGTCGAGTCCATCGCGAAGAGCATCAAGGGAGGGTCCCTGTCCATGCCTGGTGTCAAGCTCATTCAGGTTGACGATGCAGCTAGCAGCACCCCCAAGCCACTCGCGCCCCAGCTCAAGTTGTTGGTGTGGGATGAGGACAACCAGAAGGCGAAGATTCCAGAGGATTTCTGACCATACCTCCTCCGCCTCTTCCTCCCCCAGCCCCCTTACTTCCTCCCGTGCCTTACGACGATGACGACAACGACGACGACGACGAGGACGACGACGACGATTACGACGACGACGGCGACGACGACGACGACGACGGGCCCGACCCTCACTCCTCCTCCTCCTCCTCCTCCTCCTCCTCCTCGCTCCTCACTCCTCGTTTCCTCCTCCTCCTCTGGCCCAGGAGGTCTTGAAGACCTGGGGTGCCCACCCAGTCTTCAGCGGCCCTGCGCAGGCGCTCCTGAAAAAAGCTCAGGCGGATCTCGGCTACGAGGAGTGGTGTGCAAACTCATTAACTTAATAACTCATTGCGCCTGCTCCAGGAGCAGGCACAGGAGAAGTGGGGCAGAGGCGCAGGACCTGCGCCTCTGCCCCCCACTGCTCTAATGCCAGCCTTGCAGGCTGATAGTTTGGGCTTGCCCCGAGGATCCCTTGGCATCAACGGCAACTCCAACTGTCACCCCGAAAAAGCGCGGCAACCCTGGCGACCCTGAGACGGAGGCCAAGAGGCGCCGCACAGAGGCCATGGACGAGGTCGAGATCTTGGAGACGAGCTCCTTGAACCAGCCGAACCTCCTCACCACCAAGATCACTAATGCAAAAGGCAGCTGTGAGTTCAGGGTTTACCTTGGCAACCTGGTCGTGGTCACCAACACGGGGAATAGCGAGCTGGTCCTCAGGGAGGGGCTCGTCATCGCAGGGTTCGGGAAAGTCGGGTGGAAGAGGCTGAATGAAGCGGATTCCCATCAGCCAAGGAGATCCCGGTGGTCTTCGATAGCTCTGAGAACGTGGTCATCATGGGAACTCAAATGGTTACCATCAAGGCGGCAGTGGAGGAACGCAGGACCCAGAACCCTTCGGTGTCTGTGTGCTACCACTCCATCGAGCCTAATGCGGGCCCTGCCAACCCTGGCAGCTTCAAGCTCGTTGTCAAGGACCGCGTCGTGTGCACGCTCTCCACGAGCACGGCTGTCGAGGAGCAGGATGGCGCTGAGCCTACCGGGAGGGTCAGGGCCACCCAGAGCAATGCGGCCAACACGCTGCCACTGGACATCTGGAAGAGCACGGGGATTGCCAAGATGGTCTGGAATATGCGCTGGGTGCAGAGCGGGTTGATGCCGCAGCGCCCGCAGGCAGCGCGGCATTCAAATTGAGCCATGCACGAAACAATGATTGTGGCTGGAAGGAGGGATCCACGAGGAGTAGGAGGATGAAGAGGAATAAGGGGGAGGAGGAGGAGGAGGAGGAGGAGGAGGAGGAGGAGGAGGAGGAGGAGGAGGACGAGGATGGGAGGAGGAGAGGAGGGCAGGAGACGGAGGAGGAGGGGAAGGAGGAGGAGAAGGAGGAGGAGAAGGAGGAGGAGGAGGAGGAGGAGGGGGGTGGAGGAGCTGGGGGAGGGGGGAGAGGGAGGTGGAGGAGGAGAGGGAGGGGATCTGGGAGAGGGGCATTCGGAATCCCCCCAGGTGGTCATGCAGCGCGAGGTGAAGGCCCCCCCGTTGAAGTCTGTTGTCCTGGCTAAGGGCTCGGTCGAGGCTGCCTAGAAGGCGCGACCTGTCTGGCGTAGGATGTATATACATACATAGCTTGCGCTGCAAGCTACCAACCTGGCAATTTGATGGGTTGGGCCCCCTCTCGTAGCATCATGTCACATTCCTCGCCATCCCCCCTATCCCCTCCTCCCTATCCCTTCATCCCCCCCTATCCCCTTCCCCCCTATCCCCCCGTCATCCCCCCTATCCCCTTTTATCCCCCTATCTCCTTCCCCTTCATCCCCCCTCTCCCCTCCATCCTCCCTACCCCCCCCTCCATCCCCCCTATCCTCCCGATCCCCTTCCCCCCATATCCCCTTCATCCCCCCTTCATCTCCCCATTTGCATCCCTCCTCCCTTCATCCCCCTTGTCTCCTTTTCTACTTCTTGACTTGTTAGTGCGCTGCTCATTACTCTAGGCTCCAGCATGCCACGTGCTGGAAAGGTCTGGGCACCGGAGACCCTGAGTTGTAGATCTGGGCACCGGGGCCCTGGGCATCGGATTCCCCAGAGTTGTAGATCTGGGCATAGGATTCCCCAGAGTTAGTGATCTGGGCATAGCATTCCCCAGGGGCCCAAAGTGAGTGATCTGGGATTGCTTTACCTGGCACAGGGCTACCTGCGGGCTTAGCGGGAGACCATTGCATCATTTAGAGGCAAGGACAGGGCAACATGAGCATATGGCTCTCCATCTACGCCTGCTGCACTGGCGCCTGGGTCTTTTAAAACTAGGGCTTGACAACGACGTCGACGTCGACACCAAATCCAACTTGACCTAGAGCAGCTGGTAGCCCGAACCAGTCGCTTTTTCGGGCCTGTGCTGCGCAGCGACAAGCCGAGGCCAAAAGCAGCGCCAGGGAGAGGCTACAGGGATCAGGGCCTGAGAGATCTGACGCCACGATGAGAAGGAGAAGGAGGAGGAGGAGGAGGAGGAGGAGGAGGAGGAGGAGGGGGAAGGTATTGAGATGAGGAGGAGGAGGAGGAGGAGGAGGAGGAGGAGGTCCTGAGATTTCCTGCAAGGCACAGTTTTCCAGGAGGAGGCCCAGAGAGTTCCCAGGAGGAGGTCCAGAGATTCCCCAGGAGTAGGTCCAGAGATTTCCCAGGAGGAGGAGGAGGTCCGAGATTTCCCAGGAGGAGGTCCAGAGATTTCCCGAAAATGGCCTTGGCGCTGCCAGGCTTTGTGGCCGAGGCCCTCCTCCTCCTCGTCCTTCTCCTCCACGTCCTCCTCCTCCTCCTCCTCCTCCTCCATGTCCTCCTCCTCATCCTCCTCCTCCTCCTCCTCCTCCTCCTCCTCCTCCCTCTCCACGTCCTCCTCCTCCTCGTCCTCCTTCTCGTGCTCCTCCTCGCCCTCCTCGTCCTCGTCCTTGTCCTGCTCCTCCTCCTCCTCTTCCTCCTCCTGCCCTTTCATATTGTCATTTCGTTTTCTCTCCATCCCCTTATTTAGCCTCCTCCTCCGCCTCCTACTACTTCACCTCCCTCGCCTGCCCGTCTTCCCCCTCCAGGTTCGTCGTCGTGGTCGTCGTCGTCGTCGTCGTTGTCGTCGTCGTCGTCGTCGTCGTCGTCGTCGTCGTCGTCGCCGTCGCCGTCGCCGTCGCCGTCGCCGTCGCCGTCGCCGTCGCCGTCGCCGTCGCTGTTGCTGTTGCTGTCGCCGTCGCCGTCAGCGCCCCCCCCGCGCGCTGAGGGCCAGCCATTGCCGGCTGCCCTGCCGCGCTGCCCCGCGCCGCCGCGCGCCGCGCGGGGGGCCGCCGCGCCCGCTGCGCGCGAGCGGCGCGCAGCAGGAGGAAGAGGAGCAGCAGCGAGGGGGAAGCAGCAGCGAGGGGGGGGAGTGAGCAGAAGGAAGAGAGCAGCGAGGGGGAGGGGGACCCCTCCTGGGGCCCATCTTGGCCAGTTTTTCAAGTTGCGTCCAGCCCAGGCAACAGGTGGCCCCAGCTCCG